AAATTTCTTCTTTATAAGCTTTAAATCTTGATTAATACTATAATCCTTTAATGCATCTGTTGTTAATTGTAGAAGGTAACCAAAAAGATCCTACAAATAATGTTTAAATAAGTAATTATCGTAATCAAACTTCAATAAATATGGTAAATTATTATAGTACCATTTCCGAATTTTCTTTGGTAAATGGGCTTAAAACCCATTGAGAAATTGGCGTAGAATTTGCTGCAGGCCGTCCAATACCCAATCTGAACCTTAAAAATAAAGAAATCGAGCAATTCAAAATTTGCCATGTGAATATATTTGCATCAACTTATAGGAATATCAGATGATACCTTACGAAATCTGTACCAATCATTGATACAATATTTTCTAATCCTTTATGGCCTCTCATTGCAGCTAATTTCCCTCCATCTTGGTAAAATGTTTCGAATAATATTTTTAACTAGCTTTACGGCAAGAAAATGTGTCATTATTTAACATTATAACTAACGTGTATTACCTTGAACCATCAATATACCTGGCAGTGTATTCAAGTCATCTGCTACTACTATCAACCTTTTAGAATCCTTAACTGCATAATGTTGCATCACTTTTTGTATTGACGATCCTGATTCATTCATGGCAGTCAACGGTTTCATTAAAACGATCCTCAAAGAATTCTATATATATATTTATTAATTCGATAATTATCTGACTATTATCATGATATGTATATATAACAAGCACTTACAGTCACGGTTGATGACCCACTTTCATATGTATAAGTAAATGTTGTATCTCGTACATCAGCTATTAAAGTTAATTTATTCTTTAACCTCAATAAAATGAAACGGGGATTTAAAGAATTGACTGAAACTTTACCTGATAAATCATACCGTCTATGGAAAACAGGTGGCATTTGTACACCTTGTTGCGTAAGCGCTATTGCATTTGCCAAGTAATCTATAAATATATATCCAGCTGTTTTGGTAATTTGACGCGTCAAAATAGTAAAAATATTTAGTCAGTAATGACATGTAACGGAACACAAGTAGGTAGGAATATGGAATTTGCGAACCATTATGACGTGTGGTGGCATATTC